CCCCAAAACCCCAAAACCCCAAAACCCCAAAACCCCAAAGGAAGTCAGCCGTATAGAAATCGCTATAAAATATGGATGATAAGGGACGTAAAAGCAGATAAATTGAGAAATTGGCTATTTAGTTCTCTTGTGTGTAAGGAAAACACTTTGGTGGGGACTAAAGTGCCTGATTTTGTTCCTTTCCAATGGCTCCAGGTCGAGTTTGATGTTCGCACTTGAAGCAAACAGCTGATTTGTATCTGCATTCTCACCCCTAAATTTAATTATTTTGAGTATTCAGCACTAAAATATTAAGCTGAAGCACATCTACAGTTAAACAGCTTTATATAAACTCTGGGGATTTTAATTAGCAAAATTCAAAAATATAAATTCTAAAACATGGTAGCATAAGTAAGAAGAGTGGCTTACTTCGGACCCCGCTTAATCTCTTGTAAAGCACTTGCATAATTTCATTTCTCAATGTACTGGCTAGCATCGGGGCTTGCCAATAAATGCTTATCAAAGGAGTGATCTCCATGCCTAAAAAGACTTGTAAAAATACTGTAAAATTATAATACATTTGAAATATTTTATAACCTTGGAATTTCTCCAATGATGTCTTTACCCTACATTGTCCTCAAGATAACATCGGTGGAGAATTGCTAGGCAGATTGGCCACAATTTGTAAATTCTTCAGTGAAAATTCATAAAAAGCATGAAGAGATAATAACTGGTTTAGGCATTTTTAATAGGTATACCCTATTCTTGGTTTTTACACTCTTAAACTATCCAATTCTTTCCTCAAAATAATACCCAGAATAAGCCAAAACTGAAATTAAGGATCTTCAAAATTATTTGAGGGTTGAAGAAGAGGTCTCATACAGGTCTTATACCTGGTTTGTAGAAGAAAAGTTAGAGATTTTATAGGCCAAATAAACCAAAATAATCCAAGTTAAGTTATACACATTCATGCTGAATCATAAATGTATTTCCAAGGGCTACCTCAAGCTAAGTAGCTTCAGGTTACTCAAATCATCAATAGCTATAATCTGGCGCTTACTTCCTGGATTTACGAAAGAGCTTCAAAGAATCTCATTCAAAAATTACTAATAATTTGGGAATAATAAAACCCGATTGGAATTTTAACAAATTACTTGGACTAGACTCTCTGGTAAACCGCTCACTTCAACTTTGGGATAGAATTGCAAGCAACCAACTTACGTTAATTTCTTTCAATCATGTGGCAGTCTTTGCTTAGGGTGATTGGAAATCTCCTTTTCTTCCTCAACATTTTCTGAACTGTTAGGTGATACCTTACCAATATTGTACGTCCGGTTAGCTTTACTCTTTGTCTCCTTCCTTTGATACTCCCTGGCTTGGTGCTCAACTATTTTTGCAGCCATTGGGTCAAAGGATTCAGAAGAATCCTGGGAGAATTCGTAGCTGTCTCCATTGTCGCTCTCGGACGATTCACTTTCTTTCTCTCTCCAGTGGAGGTCAAATCGGTTTGATGGAATCCCAACATATCTTTTGAGGATATCTGAGTATAAGCATTCTTTTCATATATCATATGAAATGGGATACGATTCATCAAGGTCGTTTAGATATTTCAAAAGTAGGGAAATTTCAACAGGAAGACCTTTGCTTAACATTTTCCAGTTATAGGTCTCCTTCTCCCTTGCTACCTCTTTGATAGATCTCTTGTCAGAGATGTCTCAGAACTTTAGCCAAGGAAGTGTTCCCTTGAACAAGAAGACAGCGAGATAAGCTATTCATTCAAGGTCGTCTCTCAAATTGGTTTCTTTGCCTCTGTCAAAGTTAATACTAGTTATTATCCTTGAAACATTGTTTTCATTCAATATGTTTATTGGCTTGAATGCGGTGAAAGAGAGGTTAATGTAGTCTCTCCTTTCTGTAGATCAGACCTCAAAGTGCTTCATTTCGAGCCGTCCACTATGAAGTCCTCTTGCATGAAAACTTTCAATACCTTCCAGAAGCTGTATGATTATCATAAGTATCGTCTTTTTAGGGTAGCTTATTTGAATTTTTCACAAAAATAGAGTACAGTCAACTCTCAAAGAGTTTAGACTCGTCTTGAGTGGGTCTACAGGGTTACCTAAAAGAATTACCGATTTCTTTTACTCCATGCAATCTTATTGTTATCTTCTCTTTGTTTGCATGTTTGGGTACATTCCTCCTTATCCATCTTCAACCTCTGTTTCAATATTATAATGTTCACTTGGGGTTTTGGGGTTTTGGGGTTTTGGGGTTTTGGGG